GTAGGGTCCTAGGGGGCCAGTTAGGATGGGGGGAGGGTCTCAGGAGTGGGCAGTCAGGGGACAAGAGGCAGGGAGGCTTAGGTAGGGGGTGGAGTCCTGGGGGGCAGTTAGGGGCAGGGGTCCCAGGAGGGGGCAGTCAGGGGACAAGGAGTGGGGGGGAAGGGTTCTGGCCTGAAAATTTCGTCAGCCTTGTTGCTGGCAACATGTGATAAGTAATTTACCTTGAACCCAGTCTAGTTTGTTAAGTTTTACGTTACTAGAAAGTGTTTTATCTTTATTTTCTTTTGTAACCATTTCTGACTTGATGCCTTATACTTGTATTCACATAAAATCTGTCTATTGATAGTTAACTAAAATGTGTTTTATTCTTCAATCAAAAGTAATCCAGTGTTGTGTTTAAACTGAACTGTTTGGGCAACTCCAGTTAAACTGCAAACTGTTGGATATGGTCCTATAATATCTGAACTGTCCAGGAGAGGACTGGACAGTGAAGAACATACTTTGGGGGGAAATTGGAACTGTGAGTGTGTTGGGGTCACCCAGCAATTAGTAACCAAAGGTGATGAAAGCCAGAGTGTGACTGGAGTGTTGCTGGCAGGCTGTGGCTATACACAGAAACTCAGGGTGTGCTCTGTATGCTGTTTGTGAGGGGCTCAGGTTGAGAGCTACAGTAGCAAAGCATTGAGAGGCACCCAGGTTTGCAAGACAGGTCGTGACACAACCCCTCATTGATGTGGATAGCACCCTGGAATGTGATACACATATCACTTTGTTGGGGACATGGCTTTTGTCTCTCTGTTGAAGGAGCTTTGGGCCATCATCAGATCCCACAGGTTCATCAGGATCTGCAGGAGAACAAACAGTGTGCTGATGCCTGTGCCTACTTGGTTGCTCTGTATCCTCCCTCCTGCTACTTGGCAGCACAACTCCAATGGCTCTCTAGTATTAGATACCCTTGATTATGATTGCTCTGTGGATTACCCATATCCTTCATGGAAGGGGCTCTTGCAGCACATAATACAGCTCCATGGAGTCACAGACAGTCCCCTTGGACATTCCAGTCTATCCTGCCACCCACGCAAGTTGGAACTAGTGATACACCAAAGATCACAAAATATTTAGGTTGCTCCCAGTCCCAAGAGACCAGACATTTACCCCAGGTCAATTTGTACCTTAGATCTCTCACCAAAGCCAACACTTATACCCAATTCTGTAATAAAGTGACTAAAGGAAAAAGTAACTAGGAAAAAGTAATGAGAGTTATTACAAGGTTAACCAGGCAAACATATACGTAAATGAGTTACAGTCCATGATTTTAAAAGGTGACAGGAGTCAGCTAGGCTAACCCAAGCTGACTGTGAGAGTCCAAACAGCAAAAAGATGAAAAATTTTCTTGTCAGCTATTTTTATTTCCTTCTTCCCGGATTCAAGCTGATGGGACAAGCCATTTTGCACATAGCCTCTTCATAGATGTGAAGGGGCAATTAACAAAGCCTTTGTACTATGATGTACTACCATGGGCAATTTAGTTTTGATAGCTTTCTTGGTGATCAAGAGATGATCCTTCCTCACAGGTTTACAGTTTCAGAGCAAACATTTTTTACAGTTATAAAGCAAAAACTTAAATATTACCTTATAGCATGGGATAAACATAAGTGAGATTAATGCATGCAGCAACTTACATGCATTTCATAAAGAATTGTAGAAGTACTAACTAGTATGTAACCTATAATTTAAATCAGCTTCTGTACCAGATGACTGGAGGATAGTTAATGTGTTGCCAATTTTTAAAATAGGCTCCAGAAGTGATCCTGGCAATTACAGGCTGGTA